TAGATATTTCCTTCAGTCCCAAAATTTCTAGCATTGCAGAGAGTGAAACACTGAAAATTTGTTCACACCTAGCACTTTAATCTTTGTTGTGTTCACGTTCCCTTTTCTTTGCATGCCCAAACTCTATTTCTAAAGGTTCAACTGAAGTTTTAAATTAACTGCAATGTTAAAAGTATAGGAACTGATGGAAAATTTCATTTCTAGGGGCAGAATTCTTATTTGGAGGAACAACATGCTCATTTTGCCGCTTCCTGTAGCTACAGCCTAAAGTGAAAGGCAGGTGCCGTTCCCTGTCATGCATCAGGCAACAAAATATCTTGGGTCAGCTCTGATTTTGGAGAGCCACTGGGCCTTCTGTTTTCCATTTACCTCTAACCCACCCTTTCACACCATGGTTTGTGTGCAACAGGAGAAAGATGCTCCAAATGCTTGTGAAAGAAGCATAATTTGCAGCTACCTATGTGCTACTGTGGTGCAGTGGTCAGCGCATCAGACTAGGGCCAAGGTATTCTGGATTTGTACCCCTCTTCAACCATAAATTTGCTTTGCATTGAGCTTGTCATCTTCTCTCCAAATTGTGAGGATAAAAATTGTGGAGAGGAGGGAAGCAAATAAAGGTTATTTTCATAAACTATTTCCTGCATGGGAGGAAAAGCAAAATTATTTTAAATTATGGCAGCCTAAAGTGTTTCAGCTTGCATATTTTCTTTTAGCAGTGTTTGCAACAGCTTCGCAAGATAGATCAGGTATTGGGAATTGAGGCTGAGCAACAGCAAGCTTTCCTGGGGCCACTTGGTGAGACCCTGGCTAGGATGAGATTTGACACAGTGATTTAAAGTCCCTCTAAGATTGGGTGGGCGCCTATCAGGGGTATTATATTATGTATGTTTGTTTCAAATCTCACCTTTTTCAAAGTGACTGGGATTTGAGGCAACTTCCAAAGGTTAAAAGTGATACAGCTTTTCAGAACTTTAAATTTCATATTCAGTTTCATTACAATTAAAAGGTGTGCAGAAGCGTACCCATTCAAAAATAAATAAACCCAAATGGTAGGCTGTATTGTACATTATTAAATATCCTTTTTCTTGAGCAATTTGTCCTCAAAGGCCTGCCAAAACAGCAGGGAGGATGCCAGCCTAACTTCTCTAGGAACGAAGTTCCAGAACTTGGAAGCACGTTCCCACCAAATGTACCTGTGAGGATGGTGGGACAGAAAGAAAGACTTCCCCAGAAGATAATCAAAACATAGGCAGACTCTTGTGGAAGAAGATGCTACTCACACTGGCAGGGAGTTGGACCAAGTGACCGTTGAATTCTTGAGCTGTTGTTGCATAGCCATGGCATAATACCAGATCTCTTTAACTGTTTCCCTTAATAAAGAATCTCTCGTAGTTTAAGGTGAAAAAAACTCTGTTTGGATTTTGCTTTGATGGGGCTACCATTAGTGTTACTCTTATGGTAACTGAATTCTTTAATTGAGCATCTAAAATATCTTGTTCTGTAAGCATTCAAAAATCTGAATCCAGTACTTGACTTCTGCATGTGCAGATTTCCCTACAGAAGCAGTTGGACATTTTTTGTCCTATGTGAAACAGCTGCATTCAGTTCCAGGTTGCAGAAACAGAGATGATGATGATGATGATGATGATGATGATGATGATGATGATAATAATAATAATAATTTCTTATACCCCACCTTTGCTGAGGCAATCAAAGCGGCTTACAGGTGCCTTTGCGTATGGATATGTTTTGTGTGTGCATGGACATTCCACATTGTGGATAGATGTGCATTATACATGGATCTACATGTGCATTTGGTTGATCTTAGTGAGAAACAGCATCATTGACTAACATGGCTACTTCTTTGAAATGTTGTTGTTGTTGTGTGCCCTCAAGTTGTTTCTGACCTATGGTGACACTAAGGCTGTGGTGGCGAACCTATAGCACATGAAGCCATTTTGTGTGGCACGCGAGGGCAGGGTAGAGGAGGAACAGGCATGCACCTGTTCCTTTTCCTTCCCAGCCATCCCAAATCTTCAGCTGCTCTTGAGAGGCAACTGAAGGCCCTGAAGGGTGCGTGGGTGGAAGTCTCACCCCCGGAGGTCAGAAATCCTGCCTCCAGCACCAGGTAAGACTTGGTGTCAGAAGGCTTTTTATTTTGGACACTCGGTGCCCTAAGGCAAACCTATCATGGGGTTTTCTTGGCAAGATTTGTTGAGAGGGGGTTTGTCTTTGCCTTCATTTGAGGCTGGGAGTTTGTGACTTGCCCAGGGTCAACCAGTGGATTTCCATAGCTGAGCAAGAATTCAAACCCTGGTCTCCAGAGCCATTGTCTATCACTTAAACCACTGCACCATGCTGGCTCTTTGAAAACAAAAAGGTAAAGGTAAGGGTATTCCCTATTGACAAGGATGTCAAGTCATGTCCGACCGTAAGGGGCAGTGCTTATCTCTGTTACCAAGCCAATGAGCCAGCATTGTCCAAGGACTACTCTGTGATCATGTGGCCAGCATGATGGCACAGAACGCTGTTTACCTTCCCACCGAAGTGGTACCTATTTATCTAATTGCATTTGCATACTTTCAAACTGCTAGGTTGGCAGAAGCTGGGACTAGTGACAGGAGCTCACCCCATCATGCAGCAATCGGGCCTCGAACTGCCAACTTGCCGGTTTTGCAATCAACAGAATCAGCATCTTAACCACTTGAGCCACTGCATCCCTTCATTGTTATTGATTGTATTTTCTTTCTGTAAGGCAGGGACAGTGAAAGCACAGCCCGCAAGACCACTTTTTGCTAGCAAGACCCCCAGGACACTCTTAAAGTTCTTGGACCTCCCACCACTTTTTAAACTCTGCAAAATAAATTACCCCTAAATCACCAAACCTGCCACATTACCAAGCAAACTGCCCCCATGAAG